GAGAAAAGGGAAATCACCGCCCCCTGTGAAATAAAGGGTTCAGTTCAACATTCCAACCACCTGAAGAAGGCAGGAGTGTACAATGGCCGAAACATTGTAATAAATATGGTGACAATAGTCTGAATAATGTAAATAGTGTACATAATACCTCATCTCAAAAATATAGACAGAAAAATTTCATTAGAAACAAAGAAACAAATACAGAAATGCTATGTGATATCACTCCTTTTGTATGGTAGTGAATACTGGACAATTTCACCATAGATGAAGAGGAAACAGGAGGTAACAAAAATGTGGTTCTACAGAAGGATATTGAGAATTCCATGGATGAAGCGAGTAAGCAACAAGGAAGTCTTAAAGAAAATAGTAATAAAAAGAACACATAATCAGAAAGATATAGCTGAAATTCATTGAACATAAAATGAGGAAGGAGGGCTTGGAAAACTTAACTCTCACAGGGTCTATCAAGGTTAAAGAGAGGGTCATCTACTTGATGAGCTTGGGCAAATGGATGGTGGAATTCAATGAGAGGGTCTTGCTAAAGGGATAAATGCTTCTAAGGGATAGGAGGATGTGGGGAGCCACGATCTTGGAAGGATATGGCATATAGAAGAATTTATTGTTTGCACAGAATTCCAACATTTCTATTTGAACTCAATATTTTCTTGTGATTTACATGTTAGAAAAAAAAAAAAAAAGTTGAAGCAAATGACAATGACCAGTGAAAATCAGAACAGATTGTACTGCAAGAAATCCTATCATGAGGATTGCCTTTCATATACAAGAATCCGACATTGTGCTGTTGAGTATCATCAGGGAATTTCCCTTGATGATAAACTGCAGTCAGGATGGCTTGTGGAAAGAAAATGAAAATAAGAAAAAAACAACAATTTTCCTGCTGTCATGTCTTTAAGAATGTTATACTGAAAACTTTTGGAACACTCTTCATGTGTGTGTGTGTGTATATATATATATATATATATATATATAAAAGCAGGTTTTATTGAAAACCACAGACAAAGATTGTTTTAACAGTTTTCTAGTAATTTTCTCTTGTTTTTGTAGAAGTTTACTTCCAGCAAAAAAAATCTTCTCACTCATTATTTTATAAAAGAACTCAGTAAAATAAATACAAATTAATAATGATTTTTCAAACTATATCATTAATGAACAAATAAAATTAATTTTCAAGAAAATGAATAAAAATAATATGCATAACAATTAAGGTGAACAAATGAATGAAAAGATGGAAAACTATGTAATGGTCATATTCATTTGCCTACTGTTATTCTGACATACCTTTATACTATATCTGACTGATAAGTAGCAAAACTTCAAATTAGTCAAAGATAAGCATTCTAAATATTTTCATCTGTTGACTGTTGTTATTGTTTTTGATTTAAACACTTTCTTTACAAAAATCTGCACATCTTTAAACATATCAAATTCCAGTAATTTACATATTTTGTTAGGTGCTAATGATTTGTGTTATAATTATTATTATTATTATAAACATATAATGTGACCCTCTCACAAGCTTTCCACCTACCAGCCAATGATTACCTCACATTGCATTTCAATCATCAATTTCATTGGTTTGCACTAAAAGTTGGGGGGAGGGTGTGATGAACACTCACAAGGTAATATAATGACAGACAGATGCGATATTGAGAGATAAGAATGCAAGCCTGGTTTCCCATATTATATGTAGACGTTTATTGAGTGTTCTGCCTGCTTCTCCATAGTTGGTAGGTGATACTTGTGACAGCATTTGCTATGTCAGCTCTTTCCCTTAGCAACTTTTCACCCATCTACTCATCCCAATATAATAGATGGCGATACAAATGGATACTTTGTAACCACACAAAGGAAACATCCATTTCCTGCCAAGGGCAGACCAGAACTCTCCCCCCAAACCCCCGATCTTAAGCAGGACTTAATATAGACCAGCACCCAGATATATGGTATTACCAGTTTTATTGCCACTTGATCACCAAAAGTTCCTCATTCATCCCTTTATTTCCTATTCCCTTTTGGTTAAAGTGTAAGCCACTTAAAAGGCCAAACTTTAGCAGGAACTATCTGCTGGTCTTTCAAACAGAAACACTTGAAATTGAGACAAAAACCTCTTCCCTTTCCACAAATGTGTCCATAGTATCACACTATATGTGTCATAACAAGTACAAACAGCCATAAAAGATTATATAGGTACCGTCATTAGAGTGATGAACATATAAGATTAATTATCTAATTATTATATCTAAATTAAAAACTTCTAACCTTATTGTTACTAATATTGGAACCTTCCTAAACCCTAAAACCAAAATATAATAAATGAATTTTCTTGTCCATTAGGAGATTGTATCACTAATATGAATAAACAAAAAACTACATCTAAAATACAAATGTAGATTAGTCAAATGATTTAAGATATCAGACAAAATTCTATAAATCAACATAGCAGACAAGGAAATTATATTCCTACTAATACTTAGCAGATACAACACAAAGATATACAACATAAACTGAAAAATAAAACTGCAAACACTTGAAGCAATAACCATAAAAAAAACAAACTTACATTAAATAGCTTTCAGTCTAGGAAATGACGTATTAAATATATATGGATTCAATCAACATATTGAAGGTTTACATACATGGACGCAAATTATGCTAATATGGACAAAACATGAATTAAATTTAAAATACTTGAAAATTTCTCTTGAATTTGAAAACCATAACATCTCAATTCATGTTCTTGAAAATGACCATTGGTAGTTGAAAGAACTAGAACATATACGGATGAACAATTATATATATATATATATATATATATATATATATATATATACACTGGAAGCAAGGATCAATGTAATTTTATATGAAAACAGCAGAAACTTACTTAAAAAAGTGTCAAAACAAATCTTGATTGGGGGTCTCCAATAAAATGGAAAATTGCTGCCAATATTTCATAAGTTAATAAAGTCCTTGGCCCAATGAAGCTCTTCCGAAAAAATTCTGAGGTTTTATTCTTTGTTCAGGTTTTGGGAATTGGTTCAGGTTATGAACTTTTCAGCACTCCAATCCATTTCCCCATAATGAATATTCAGATGTTTGACCATTGAAATATTGATTTTGGAAAGTGAGTTGGGCTAAGAAATTTTCAGTACTTCCAGTTTTTACATAATGGAGTTAGTGGACTCACAACGAAACCTCCTCCTTGGAAGCTGGTTTAAATTCAGAGGTGCCCTTTTGCTAGGCAAGGTGACACTGAGGCTTGCAGGCCCAGTCTACCCTGATAGTTTACACATACATGTTGACAGAGAAGTGGTGAATTCATGACTTTCTCAAGAAAATAAATGAAGTTGTTTCCATAAAGCATAAAAACTGATGCCTGTTTACTTTGTCTTAGAGACTCCAAATCAAATATAATTGGTGCTTACAAAGTGCTTGTAAGTGTAGAACAAATACCACCAACCAAACTAAAAACACATTCTCTCAGAGATCGTTTTTATACTTGGAAAATCTGAAATACTTAACTTTTGATCACTTAAAACCAGGACTTGTCTTTGTTCTCAAATGAGACATTTCTTTTATTTTAATTAAAAATGTCAGTGTCACTTTAAAAGGTTCCTATATTGTATCAATTTCAAAATATCTTCTAAGTTGTTCCAGAATAACCATTTATTTCAGTGCTTCTATCACCATCTAAAAATTATCTTAAATTACTAACATTATTCATGCACAACTATTGACTGGTCTGCTCATAAAAAATAGAGAAGAATTTGGGGCTGAGAGAATAATTTTCATAGATTAGCATTTCATCTACCTTGGTCAAGCCATGACATTTGGCAGAATAAAAAAAAAAAATATTGATTTGTCATTTCAGAGGGGGGGAGTCCTCATAGTATGCAGTGTCAAATCCTGATTTCTTAAAGAGTTATCTAAACTTTACTTTTATTTATGTCAGGTTTGAAACTGCACTGACATCAATGATGTAAGCACAGTTTCAAACATGATATTTGTTAATAAAAACAAAATACAAAAGTACAAATAACTCTAAGTCCATGATCGATTTGACACTATATATTATGAACAAGATCCCACTTTCCCACAAATTTAAGTCCCTAAAATTAAAAATTCAATATTTTTCAATTCTGATGAATGATGTAGCTTGAAGGTCTAAAGGGTCCTAATCTACAAAATGTTAAAAAAAAAAAAAAATCTTTCCTATTTTTTTTATGAGTGGATAAGTCAATTTAATTAGTGCCTATTATTTGATTCAATTTACTACCAGAATAAAAAGACCCAAGAACAAAGAATTTTTTGCAAGATGTCACTATAACTTTTCCCCTATGGCATGAAATAATAAAAGTTCAATAAAATGCCAGTAAATTACTTTTCCTTATTTTTTAACATTCATATACAGAAAATATTTACTTACTAGTTAGTAAAAGACCAACCACACATGATATTGGTTTTAGCTTATAATCTACAAATAAACTATTTTACAAAGAAAAAAAAAATACAGTTTTCAAGAGAAACGAAAACGTTGAAATTATTTAAGCTTTTGTACCAAAATTGAATGAAAGTATGAAAAAAAAAAAAAAAAAAAAAAAAAAAAAAAAACAAAAAAAAAACAAACAAGCTGCATAATCACTTAATGCAAAGTAATCTAATCAATTTTTCAAATAACATTCTTTAACTTGAGACCACCATTTCATTGTCATGCTTAGTTTAAGAAAAAGTAAAAAAAAAAAAAAAAAACTGAGGTAGATGAATAGATTATTACAAAGGGATTTAGCTACAACATTGCCAGCACATGCAGACAGACACATTGAAATAGTTGTGCCAATACCATGAGCATCTCTGTAGTAAGCATGTGTAACACTTCGGAACCGTTCCTGCCCAGCAGTGTCCCAAATCTGCAAGGAGCGACAAACAGGGAAAAAAGTTAGATTATTAAGAATACTTGACCAGAAACAGCAAAGTGCACGTACCATTTGCATCACGATAGTAGCCACGAGTAATGCTTCGAAAGCGTTCTTGACCAGCAGTGTCCCAGATCTGAAAAGCAATATCATTTGAAAAGCCTCAAAACAGATGGCCTCTTCTTATGATCAATTATGATTTATATTATTGCTTAGTAAAAATGGAGAGAGAGCAGAAGAGAAAAGCAGGATATAATAATTTAAATATAGTGAAAATAATAGAAACTGAAAATACAGAATCAAGATTCATGGGCAGATTTTTAAAAAAAAAAAAAAAAAAAAAAAAAAAAGCAAATAAGGGGAATTTTTTAAAAATTACTGAAGCATGAATGATGAGAAATTAAAATAAAATATATATATATATATATATATATATATATATATATATATATGTAAAAAAACATTATTACACCTGTGCATATGACAGTCATACAAGAGAAGAGGGACAAAGAGAAGAAATAGGAGAGAGGAAGGAAGAGGGAAGGGGGGAAGGAGAGAAAAGGAAGAGGAAGGGGGGAAGGAGAGAGAAAACAAAAGAGAGGAAGAGAGAGAAAATAACAAAAGAAGGCAGAGAAAAAGAAATTATGGAATTGCAACTGCATTATGACACACAATGTTCAAGGTGTCAGTTCCTTTATGTTATTGATGACTGACACCAAAAAAATGATTAACTAGCTAAAAGTCATAATCTTATTTAAAGTTTAATTTTTATGCCTTGAGATTTGATATTTGTGTTTCTAGTTAACATTTTTATGCTTAAAGCTTTTCAATTCTGATTTACACAGGCAAATTGTACATAATTTTTTTTTCATGTATTTTTTTCATTTGTGATTCTGTTTTCACACATTTTTTTTTAATCATTTCACTCCAAAGCAAGGTGATAATACCACTAAGATGCAAGGGGCTACTGGGAGTGGAAGAGAATAAGAAGACTTTAGTCCGGTGAAAGAACAATAAAAGAACAGTTTTCAGGAAGGTAGAAGATGATAATTGATGCTGCAATAAAAGTTTTCAAAGCTGCTAGTGGCACGGAAGCAAGAAACTGAAAGAGAGTTCCACAGGTGATAGGTGCAAGAAAAGAAGCTATTAGAATAGAGTTACATTTAACTATTTCAACAGTAAAATAATGTGACTTAGTTGCCAATCTAGTAGTTCACTTAAATTCACGCAGTCAAGGTACGATGGAAGAGAGTTCATTAGAACAACTGCCATGAAAATATTCATAAAAAAAGACAAAGGAAAGCCATGTTACAGTGGAGGGAGAGTAACTGAAATTGAGATGCCAGGTCACGATTGATAACATTACAAACTCTTTTTTCAAGAATCTTAAGATATATAGTCAGAGCACCAAACCAGATATGACAACGATATTCAATACATGGACGAACGGTAGATTTATAAATGTACAAGATGGATTCTGAGGAGAAAAATTGTCTGGCACAACAGTGAACCAACCTTCTTAGCAGCAGACTTAGCAATTGATTTAATATAATTGCTCCACTCAGTAGAAATTGTGAGACGAAGTGGATTATTTTAGCCTTTGAGTGTCTCGACTGTTTAAGTTTGGCAAAACAAACATGGCTGAATGTAATAAACAACATATTTTAGTTTGTAATATTTTTTTTGATTTTGCGTATGAATATTGCATTAAGAATTATTTGAGAATAACAATGATTTTTCAAGGTACAATTCCTGATATTTGAACCATAAAAGGTATATGTGCATAAGTAAATGTAATGAACCTGACTGGAAACTCAGCACTCTCATTTTGAGCAGTCATGCATTACACCTCCCACACATCCCTGCTGACAGAATAGGGCCATTATAATGTAAAATTCCTTGAAATCAGAAGAACAAAAAACCAGTGGCCAGGAATTAATGCAAGTGCCATAGACAAAAAATGTTTTATTATAATTAATGAATGAATAAAAACCTACAGCAACAAAAGCAAAATTAACATCTTGTCTGCTGTCATCTTAAGACAGAAATATTACACATCAACAAAATTTTCAGCCATTAAAATCTGCAGGAAAATCAAGAGAACAGATTTATTTATGGTAGTTCCAATAATCATTATTCAACACTTTGAATGTCTCAACTGTTTAAGTTTGGCAAAACAAACATGGCTGAATGTAATAAACAAACAGTAGCAGAATTGAAAGTGAATGCTGGTGACAAGATATGGATTGGACATGGTAAAAAGCAAAATAAAAATTCATTTGGTTGGTTTATTATTAAAGCAAACAGAAGAAGAAAATTAGAAGTGATGACAGAGCAGTGACAGATATTGGCCAGGCATTTCAATAATTATGGCAGCTATGAAGAATTTTAATGTAAAATAAATATTTCAAGGTGTAAGCGTTAAAGATAAGAACAAATGTTACAAGTCTAAAAGGATTGATAAGATAGAGACAGGTACAAACATAAGGATTGATAAGATGGAGACAGATACATTTTGCTTTTAAGCTAACAAAGGAAAAAAAAATCTGATTTTCTGAAACAACAATAATTTTTCCAGATAAAAGTAACCCATATCTAGGAGGAGAAAAATTTTCAAAACTACCAATGGCAGGGAAGCAAGAAACTGAAAGAGTTCCACAGGCGAGAAAAAAGTATTAGAATAGAACTTATTGTTACATCTATTTCAACAGTAAAATAATGTGACCTAGTTGCCAATCTAGTAGTAGGAAAAAAAACTGTTTTTCTGAGATAATGATTTTTCCAGATACAAGTTCTACTATTTAACCCATATCTGGGAGAAGAGATGTATTCATATCTTTCCCAAGTGAATGTAACAAACTCAAATGGAATTTGAACTTGGCTCTCTGATTTCTTATTTCCAGCCACTCTCCATTAAACTACTTGTACATCCACAATTTATGAAGGAAGTGACTTTTTGTTAATCCTTGCCTGGGGGGTGATGATCCCAGTGTGGGGAACTGTTGGAAAGCATCTGAAAACTACACTGCAGACTAACCAAAGCCTTGTCACGTAGCTGACAGCATTTGGTATTCCCCATTGGTTCTCAATCTGGGTACTGGCCAAGCACAGCATTGCTTAACTTTGGTGATCAGATGAGAACTGGTGTTTCAATATGATATGGCTGTAAGCACTCATTACTACTGAGTGCTATTAATTAATGTTATCAAAACAGTGAACTGATACTAAATAGTTTTAAACAATCTATCTATAAAAGGCAGGATGTGTGTGTGTGTGTGTGTGTGTGTGTGTGTAACAAATACACAACCACAATTTCATGGATTTGCATCAAAATTTACATGCACATGCTCCAAGTTAGTGGAAAGGACAAGACCAACTTTGCATTTCCCAACTCCCATCGATAGTGGAAATAATCGATTTTTTCATGCTTCTACAGCAGTTTTCATATAGTTTGCAACCATTTTCTACTGGCCAGAGTGGGAGCTTATAGCTGGCTGTCACAAATAGGCAGGAAGATTCTATTGGCCAGTGTGAGAACCAACAGCTGACTGACATGAATGTTAACTAGCATGCTAGCATGCAAAAGAAAATCAATAGCTGTATTCGTCACAAGTGGGAAAAATTTAAATCTGCATGGCACTTTACTCCAATTGGCTCATTCGCTTGCTTAAACTCAACGTTGATTCTGATTCCGCAGAACTGGGTTGGGTGTGAAAAAGTATTTGTTGTTAACATTCTTTTTTCATTCGGTTTTTCCAGTTATGAGTCCTTTTTTTTTAAAGCTGATCGTTTTGTGTTTATTTTGTTTAGTTCTTTTTTCATAACAGATTTAATGTTTAGTATAGAGCTTAGAAAAAATTTGCAATGTGAGATAGGCAAGAAGTAAGGCATGTAGCAACATCAGCACGGCAAAGAGCACTCCTTTAAAGGCAAGGAAGGGCAAAAATATTTTAAGTCAAGTAATAGCGATTGCTGTATGAGTTGTACAATTTTTTAATCAAGTACAGGTAACGCCAGGCCATGCTGCTAGTACTGTATATAATAGTGACTATATATTCAATCCAGAGTTGACGGATTGTAATAACTTAAGGTTATTATTGTTTGCGCAGTACTTATTGGGGAGTGGTTTGGTTAAGTGATCACTCAGCCACACGCATCCCTATCAACCACAGTGGCTACTGGCATGCCTGAGACAAGACAATTTCTGCTTAGATATCTGGCCATAGGACAGAGTGAAGAAATAATAGGATACATGCTTTTCTCAAGGCTATTTGTGCCAAGTGAAAGCAATTTCAGCCAGAATTCAAACTAGGTTTGCTGATTCTGTTTTCCAAGACAATAATCATTACACATACACAGAGTTCCTGCAATACTGGAATATGGACTTAAATAATGTACATACAGGGTACGATGGATAAATTGTCATCTAAATTACACAAAAATGAAAATAACACTGAAATTTCATTTTAACAACAGATATATTTACCAAAGTTACACTGGAAATATTAAAGAGTAAATTTATTCAATAAAAGCATAATCTGCTTCAACCACTCCAGATGACTTCAGAATCTCCTGAAACTCCTCTGGGTGGTCTCCTTGTTTAAGGTGATGAATGCTGCCATAATACTTGCTTTCAGTTCATATTTGGTGTTACAAGGAGTTTTGTTGGTCTTTCACTCATGTGCACCCCACACATTAAAAAATCTTGAAATTGTTTGTAATTCATTAGGATTTTCTTAATGAATCTATAGTTTAAAATTTCTGGATTATCTGGAAAAAGGAGACAATTTTTTTAATATTTTCTTAGTGGTTCACTTACTTTTGTGCACCAATGTGTATTACTTTAAACATTATTTTTAGTGGATACACATATTTGAGCAGGCGCATTGTTTATTTTAAACAGTATTTTATTTTATCTACTAGCCCGAATGTTTTTTTTATGTTTAGATCAGTAAACAAAATTTGTCTTTTCAAGGGTAGATAGATATTACACTGGTCCTAAGCAAAAGAGCTGTGAAATGGCGCTTAGAGTTTAAATAAAGCAGACTGATACTTTAATCTTAGACCTGATCCACAGATAAATAATGCTGTCAGTTTTTTTTAGGTGTACTATGTTAAAAAAATAAGTGTTATTGTTGTTATTAAAATAAACAGTCTAGTTTCGATGTACTGGTAGCAACAACTTGCCTAATTTTGATAAAAAGAAATTATAATGAATGGATAGTGAATATGTTTGTGAGTCATTCCTTGAGTAGCTAACTGATTATATGAGTTAAGAGGTTTCTTTTTTATAACCAGTAAAGTGAATTCAACAAAAAGTGCAATATGGCAAAAATTGATTGGTTATAGAATATATTTTATTCAACCCTGATATATGACTGGGCAGAAAAGTGATATATTGGTATCCACTTAAAGTAATAAAATTTGATTTTGTTACTTATCCATAAACAGTAAAGTTTTACCAACAGATTGCTTTATAAGATCAAAACAGGCAGTTATAAAATTTTCAAGCACAGAAATTTGACTTTACAGAATTTTTAAAAAGTAAAATCAAATCCTAGATAGGTAAGTATATTTTTATCTACAAACTGACAAGCTCAGGTTAGCAGAGGCACCAATGTCAACACTTTTTCTTTGATTGTATTTGAATAAAAAGAATATTTTTTTAAAAGAAAATCTGTTGGAGTTTTTCTTTACAGATAAAACAAGTAACAGAAATCTGGTACTAAAGATAGATGCTGAGAATACCATGGATGGAAAAATGTGAGCCATGAGAAAGTTTTAAGGGAAATAGGACTGGAAAGGTAACTTGTACTTACAATCAGAAAGTAGTAGTTAGAATTTCTGCTAAACATAATGAGGAAGGAGAGTTTGGAGAATTTAACACTCACAGGACATACTGAAGACAAGAGAAGTGGGTGCTTTGAACTGGAGACAAAAGAATAAATCAACAGGTACCAAATTTAACAATCTGGGTAATTTCATAACAGGTGATCAAAAATGCGTTACAGGAATCTGAAGATACATGGAAATTGTGTAAGATGTCTTCCAGAAAGTATTAAAACATAATATTTCATTAGAAACAAAGAAAAGAATACTGAACTACTATGTAATATCTATCCTCTTGCATGACAGTGAATGCTGAACAATTTTCCTACAGATTATTTTGGTTGGTTGATTTAGTATAGTGGCATATCAACCTGTATGAGTTATTTTATGCCAAAATCTAAATATCTTGAACACAATTTTATGGCTTCAACTAAATATATTTTGGACACAATTTTATGGCTTCAACTAAATATATTTTGGACACAATTTTATGGCTTCAACTAAATATATTTTGGACACAATTTTATGGCTTCAGATAAAATATATTGTTGGTAATTCTACTATAAAATGTATTGCTGGTCATTTTGCTTTAAAAATGTATTGTTGGTAATTTTACTATGTGTTGTTGGTATTTATTTTTATAAAAATGTATTGCTGTAATTTCATAGTGTTTTGTTTCATTTTTGTTTGGGGGGGGTCATCATTTGCCCATAGCTGGGACCCTAACAAGTGCTACCACTCCAAGTCAGGATATAGATGAGAACAACAGCAATTAAAAGGTGGCTCCAAGCTCCTCAATACCTCTAACTTCCTGATCAGAGGCCTTGCTGCTGGATGTAGTTTATCGTCATACCAAAGACTATACTACATATGAAGAAACTCAAAGTGACAAAGATGTCATTCTAGAGACAGTTGCTGAGAATACCATGGACAGAACACGACATGAACAACAAGGAAGTTCTAAAGAAAATAGAAGCTAAAAAGAACACTTAGAATTTCTGGGACCAATTATGAGAAAAGAGAGCTTGAAAAATTTAATACTCACAGGACATATTGAAAGAAGGATGAAAAAGCAGGGAGAAAGAGTGAGCAAGTTACTTAATGAGTTTAAGTGAATGGATAGCAGGGCAGGGACAAGGAAGGATGTTAAAGATTCAAACGTTGCTTGGAGCAACAAGAGACAGGATGTTATGGAGAATCATGATTGTCTTCTGTCCTGAAATAGTACAGCACATGAAAGAAGAATTGTCTATTGTTATGCATTCTTCAGGACAGCTTGATCAAAAGATGTATCTTTTATATTTGATTGCAAGACATGATTATATGAAGACATATCACAAATTGCATCAGATGCCGGTGTAGATTTGGTTAAGAACACAAAGCAACTAGTAAGCATTAAAAGAAAATAGAAATCATGAAGCCTTTTTCTGCTTTTCAAGTGCCCAATGTGAATGTCACTGCAACCCACAGTTGGAAGTGGTCAGATAGTCTAAAGAAACATTGCCTCTTGTTCAAGTTCTCTGATGATGATGGCTATCAACCATTTAGTAGCAAAAAAACTGACAGATCATTGCCTATTGGCAACAGCTGATATTAATATATTATTAAGAATTTTATTTTCATGTGGACTGGTATTTAGCAATTCAATTTAAAATGTCAGTTGATTTGAAAATATTCTTCTTTAAAATGTCCTCAATTTTCAAGTTTCATCGAGATAATGGGCGTAATATTAGTTTTTGACTAGCATTTATTTCACCTTAATTTTAATCAGTTTTTATCACATTTACTTGAACCATCATTTTACGAAACAGACTGGAAATAGGGTTATGATGGAAATAAAGAAAGCTGTGTGGTTAGCTTTGATCATTTGAAATTGTTGGCTTTTGCAGTTCATGTTGTAGAACAGCTGTTACATGAAGATAAGCTTCAAAAGGAGGAAAAAAAGAATGCAAGTCTTGCTGAAAATATTCTTTATTCCTAATCCATGCTGTTTATTTGAGTAGTTGTGATAAAAAGCAACTGAAATTAAGATGAAAGAAATACTCATTATGAATTGTTTCATCTAAGAAATTTGGACCACTTAAGATTATCAACTCTATTAACCTATTTATGTATGGATGCCCAACTAGTCAAGTATAGTCTTAATCAGCTTCAGGCACCATGCTTAATACACTGGACTACAATATTTTTGTGCTATAAGAGTTATGATGCAAAAATATTATAAGCTAATGTATTAGGTTTGGAAATCTGCAGCTGATGAAAACCATACCTGATTATGAATTAAATGAGTAAAGTGCAAAACAAGAAAAATAAAATAAAAGAAATATTAGTAAAAGAAA